GTTGTGTGGCATCCTCAGCACCAGCAATAGTCCAGCGGGTGGTGCCAAGTGAGAACATTCTTCCTATCAATTAGTTTATTTCCACAGACCACCTAAACCATTTAGATAATTCCAACACGGTCCAATAACCTTGAGAAACATTGAGGTCAGCATACTATTGGATAGAATGCAAGCAAAAGGGGAGGGTGGGGAGTTCATTGTCCCGCCCAGTTTCTGTTGTGACCGCACCAAGTAACAAGCCTGCCCCCATTTTAGAAGCGTAACAGCGCCAATAAGTTTATTTTAAGGTTTTGCTCAGCTCTCTGTTTTCTCTCCTCATCTCTGAATCAGGTTAGTCAGTAGATTACTAAAGCAGAAGCCTCTTCTGCAGGGCATGGTAGCCCACAACTGTAATCCCAGCAACCAGAAGGATGAAGCACAAGAATCTCTGTGAGTTTGAGGCCAGCCTGGGCTACACACTGAGTTCCAGGGCAACCCAGACTACAGAGTGAACTCTTGCCTAAAGACATAAAAAACAAACAACCCCTCTGCTTGCATCACATATGACTTCAATTTTCTAAAAGCAAGCCAGGTGGTCAAGTCCGACAAGCAATAGGTGGGGAGATGCTTTCTGTCTACTTGGATGGAAGGCATCGCCAAGCCTCCTGACAGATGTGTGGCTCTACAGTAGAGGAGACAAGGGACGGCAAAGTGTCCGATGGCTGTATCCACGGTTCCATTGCTCTTCTCTTTCCCTTTAATTTTCTACTTAGTCCAGCTATGTGTGGCTTAGTGAGTAACAAAGGCTACATTCTAAGAATTTCCCAATAGGCCCTTTTATCACATGTGAACCCTATGGCATGCACAAGCCTACACAGACCCTGAGGAGACAGGCATGTCACTCAAGGTAGCATCTTGATGCAATGAAGGGACTTGTGAGACAAGATATCTGAGGCTGCTGGTGGGGGAACATGCATATGGTTTAAGTGAACTTTGAATTTTTTATTTTTTTTTTTGAAATTAAAATACAATCACACCATTTCCTCCTTGCCCTTTTCTACCTTCAACCCCTCCCATATATTCAATGCTTTTCTGTACACACTCACATACAAGTAACATTAAGCAAACTTAAAAAATATATGTAAGTAGGAGGCACATGTTCCGAGACAACGATAAAACATTTGATACGGTAGTGAGATGAGCTAGAGAACAGTTGTTAATTATCAGGTATGATGCGCCATGCATAACTGTTTATGTTAGGCTTTTCCAGTCATCAGTGTCGTGGTTTTGCGTATACCAATGTCACCACGAACATGAGTGACGTGATGGCTATGGTACTGTGACAAGCACAATGTCATCAGCCCTAAAAATTGTTCTATCCATTCTCATCCTGCAGGACCACCGTTACAAGTTTCAGGTACTACATCAGCTGAAACACTGTTAGAGCACCCATGGCTGTATTTCTAATGTGAGTGAAGTTGGAGGTGTCAGGAAACTTTATGGTCCTTGCATAATTTTTTCATTTTTATGGATGAGAACTGGGTGTGGCCCAGAGGGATGAGGGGCCTGGGCTGAGGTTACGCCTTGCACAGCTTATTGCATTGAAACAAATGATGTAACTATAATGTTCTTCCCTGCAGTCTCTTGCCAAACCTCAACTCTACGTGGAATTTGAGTTTGGTTTTGGTGGTGAGTACGGTCTGCCTCCAAAAGTCAAGGCGTTGGTCAGTTGCAGGCATAAAGTCCTTTGGTAATTCCCCATCAGGAGACTTGAAATCCTGATTTGGAAAAATATTTTTTTTTTCATAGTGACTGCTGCTGAGCCGGGGGAGGGATTTCTAATGAAAATATTTATAGATCCTGGGTTATTATTTTAAAATAGGTAATAGTTTTGGAAGGAGACATTGGGTTTCTTTCCCAGATTGCTCTCCATTGTCCCCAGGTTTCACCTAACAAAGAATCAAATGTAAGGAAGGGCTGGGGGTTGCGAGGTGGACCACGAGTGCAAGATTGCCAGAGACGGAAAGCAGGTCTCGAGCAGGGCCGGTTGGAGTTGATTCTGTGTTTGAAGTCACTGTAATCACCAGCGGCTGTGTGTCTGGCTTACTCCTCAAAAGCAGATCTGAGCTGGTTAGCAGGCGGGAAGCTGAGACGTGCTGGGCATGGTTTGCTTTGAGAGACGGGAACAGCTGTTCCTTTGGGGCCGACAGAGAGGCTGTCCTCACCTCTGTTCCTAGATGATGATATTGCTCACAGCTTTTCTCTATGTCATTCACTGTTTCAATCCCCGAGGTCGGTTTGACCGGATATTATATTTTTAAGAGACACTTCGTAGCTGAGGTTATCTGTTACTCATACGCTGTGTAAACTGGAATGTCTCTTTAACATTTCATGGTTTTCCTTCGAGTTTATTTACTTCAGTAAATCAGCTCCCTCTGGCTAGAAACTTGACTCCTGGGGATGACATCATCCTGGAGGGCTGCAGGGCTATGTGACAGCCACAGGATAGTTTTTCTGAGAACCGATGATCTGGCTACACATCAGAAGCCAGATAATTAGTGACCAACCAACATGAGAAACAAAAGGCATTGATTAGATATACAGCTTTAACATAGAAAAACAGGGACTGGTGTAAACTAGGTGTTAAAATAATTATTTCCTATCCTTGTATTGCTGAGTTCTCTTTATTTTAGCCTCAAACAGATGGTCCCCAATTTCCAACTGTGATCTAGTTTTTAACAACAAAAATTCACAGGTCTCTACATACTAAAACTTGTGGTAGGAGTTTACTGAGGAAATACATATGGCAAAACACATACTCATGACTCAGAAATGCTTGTAAAGCCAGACTGTACTGAACAACAAAAAAATTACAATCATTTTAAGACTGTGTATACAAACCAGTGCAACACCCCTAATTCAGGGTACAGATAAGTGTGCTTGTAGGTCCCCTTGTAATAATTTTAAAGCTTCCCAGAGATTTCAGGCCTAAGGTTGGCATCTAAATGGTTTCTTATGTCTGTTAATTTGAGGAGCTGTTCTATTTAGGGGCATTGCTAGTTTCCTCTCTCCACAGCCCTTATGTATTTCTTACTAAACAGCTCAGATAAGACATGAAATAATCAACAGAGCTCAGTTTCTTAAAAGGGAGAAGATTAAATTATTTACTTATTTATTTCTTACCTACCAATATAATTTCCTTGAGGAATGCAATATTGTTGAAAATTTTGCCTTCTGGAAAAGTTATTTAAGCTGGGGCTTGTAGGATGCTTATTTCAACAAATTCAGCTGTTTATTTTGGGGGTCAAATTAGAAAAGGCAGCATTTAATACGTGGTGGCGGGCCAATCACTGTTTTTTCTGCCTCTTCCTCTCTCCAAGCGACTGCTGTGTCTCCCAGACTCACAGCAGGTTGAGGGCAGGGCTGGAGAAGTAACCTAGGTTGAAGATTCCCCTTTACCATGTCTGTACAGAGCTCTCTGCACCTCTACCCTTTGTCAATAGTGAAACAGACCCAAGTTGCAGAAGTGTTCATGATCTTGTACTTGAGCTCTTTCTCTCGTTCCCAAATGAAATTGGTTGGCTGAAGTTCAATATATAAATAAGATAGCTCCAATACACAGCTTTCACATGCAGCTAAAACTGTTCATTTTCAAAAAAATAAAATAAAACAAACATAAATCAGACAAAAAAATGTTCAACTGGCACAAATGATGCTCTAAGATAGTTTGTAAGCCACCAACACAGTTCCTGTTAGAGACCTAACTCTATATAAAGACTCAGTTCTGCACAAAAATGTCCAGGCATTTGTTCTCAGTGAGGTGTAGTCCTGCCTAAACATTGCTAATTGCCACTTACCAAGGACAGCTGGCCCTGACGGTCATGGGCACTTACAAAATCAAATTGGAAGTCAGAGTCTTGAATGGAGAGGGGTTATGGCAGGTTTTATATTGTTAAGGAATCTTGCCGCCAGGCAAGGGTGACTCAGTGCCACGCTCTGCCTCACGCTCATAATGTTTTTCTCAAAGACCTTGGCCTGAGTCAGGAATGGGGCCATGCATCATTGTTAACCAGGAAACCTCGAGGTTCCCTTTTTGGGTTCTTAGTCTTGTTTATAAAATAATTTAAAAATAGACACAGAAGGATGCCGAGGGACAGTTTTACTAGTGTTGCAGAGGACAATAACAAGATAGCCAGGCTGTAAGTTTCGGCATCTGGTGGGAAAAGAGGAAGGTTTAAGTGGAAGAGGAGAAAGTCATGCTTTCAAGAAAGCAGGCAGGTTCAACAGTGGAGGTTAGCTCTGTTGCGGAAGGAGATGGGGGCAAGGAGAGCTTCAGAGACTACGTGAGAAGGCCCAGAATGTCCAAACAAACATGCTTAGGCATTTGGCCCACATCCAAAGAAAATGATAGAAAGAATAAAAAAAGAAGAATATTATATTTCCTGAGTTAGAAAAGCAGGCACTAGCTGTGAAAAGGTAGATAAGGTTAACAATGCTGCCAGAATGTTCTGTAGGCTACTGTCCTGATAGAGGGGCTTCTGGGGGGGGGGGGGGGGAGAGTATATTATTTCATTGAAGGGATAATTAGTCCTCCCCTTGCCTGGATATGCTTTTAGGTGAACCAGATGGAAATGGAGTTCTGACTAGTTGATAGACAGGATGGGTTAAAGTGGAGGAGACAGTAAGACAGTGCTTTGTGTTTAAAAATATTAGATCTCCATCAAGGGTCAGGAGTTGAACTTTTTTTTCTCACAAGTAAGCAACTTTCTCTTAATGGCCTCAACAAAGTCTAGATATCTCTTCCTTTACATATGGTATTTTAAATCTTAAAGAGAGTCTTCCTTTTCTAGTCTTCCGAAGGAAACAAAAGGTGTGGTCCGAAGTCAACTGTGAGGGAAGTGTTTCATCCTCAGTGGTTACACCAGCACCCAGAAGGGTCAGGTCAGGAGGATGCCACCGTTCCAGAACAGACAATGTTACGTAGTAAGTTCCACCACAGCCTAGGATACAGTTTCAGTCCCCTTCACAAACAAGCATAGAGAACACCACACATTCCCTGGGCAAGTCTCCTCCGATCAGTCAGAGCAGGTCAGAGACCCTCAGGTGGGACTGTTTGGGCTCATTAGACGTGCGCATGCGCTTTAAGAATCCTGGCCCACCTGCCTTTCACCCAGGCTTAGATAACCCACTTCTCAGATCAGAATTTTGCTACTGCTGGAGATATAACTGTTTGTTCTCTCAAAAGAATAATTCTCATTCCTTCACCCCATACAACGATGTAAACCATGACTCTCCATAGCTTCAAATAGCCAGCGAACAACTGATTAGTGCGTCTGATTGCACATGCTCTGCACTGCCAAGTTCCTACAAACTTCAGAGCTATGCACGATCAGCCCGCACTAGATTAGTCTTTGCTCAGGGCCTAACAGTACCTGACACTCAGAAGACAAGCTGACGAATGACTGACAGAACAAATGAAGCAAATGATTTTCTGGCAACTCATTAAACAAGGGAAGACCGAATTTCATGATTGCTTTTGAAAGCAGCCATTACCGCCTTTGTAATTCAGTTTGTCAACAGAATGAAGCCAGCATTCGGAGAGCTGTTAGAAAAAAAGGAGTTTCCAAAACTAGGGCTGTTTTCAGGATGCAGGCTGCACTGTCACCAAGCAGCTGTCCTCACTTCTAACCCGGAAAGGACTCTAGGGTGCCATGGCTAGAGGCTGGCAGAGGACCATTCCTGATGAGAACCTGAGAGACCGCCCACTTGGACTCTCATCCCGACCTTCCCCGGTTTGCTCTGCAGTTCTGAGCAAGCTGCTACATCAGTGTCTAGAAAATGGATACTTCCCCGTGTGAAGATTTAAAGAATTCAGGCTAAATCTCTCAGAGACCAGCATGCTGCAGTCAATAAATACCGGCTCTCATGTGCTCATCTGGGTGCAGCGGAAAGAACCTACGTTTTTGAGTTAAGCAAAACAGGTTTTTAATTCAAGCTCAGCCCTTCATCTCTAATTTCACTGAACTTGTTTGGTCTTGTGTAAAATAAAGATAATGACGCGACAGAGAAACTAGATGGTATTTAAGCTATTGCAGACGGTAGTCTTCTGATGTCTCCACATCTTAAATGTAGGGAAATGCCTTGATGAGTTCACTTATGAAGGGGAAGCGCTAGGTAGAGGATACAGTGTTTTGTATAATAAATAAGAGTCTTGAAGGCAGTGCCCTCCAGTGAGCCTGTCACCCTGCTACTTAGGGAGGCTAAGGCAGGAGGGAGGATCCCTGAGCCTGGGGATTTCAGAACAGCCTGGGCAAGGCAGGGACAACACCTTCACTTCAAAAACTGATTATGGGCCTAGGAGTGTGGTGGGGTGGAGTGTGTGCTTAGCATGTGTGAAGTCCTGGGTTTTATTCATCCTCAGTATGCAAGGGAAGGGGGGAGGAAGGAAGGGAGGAGGAAGAAAGGGAGGAGGAAGGAAGGGGGTGGGTTTGACCACCCTAGAGCTGGAGATGCCTAATATTAAGTTGTTTGTTACTTGGCACAAGAATAAGCTATCCTTATCTTCTCTAAAATTAAATAGGTGTTCCCCAGTGTACCCAATGTGAACGGCACTTGGACATCTGTATGAGCAGTAGGCGCTGTGATGCATGTAAAGAGAAAGTAGACACAGGGCTGGGAAAGGGATTACTGTGCCCTTGCATGCGCTGAATCCCAGGACCCTACTAGGGACCACAGAGGAATGAAGAGATGACAGATGCATGGACGCAGTGCAAAGGACCCGAGGTCAGGTGAGTTATGTTCACTTTGATGGAGGAGAAGCCGCAGCGCCACCGGAGTTTAGCATGGTTATGATCGAAAGCTGAACAAGTAAAAAGACTTTCGTTGCTTTTATTGGAATTTTTATTGCTTCGTTTTAATTTTTACAGGTTCTTTATTTTAATTTTACAAGTAAAATTGCTTTTATTGCATATTGAGCAAGGAGATGAGGTTACTACAACAGATCAACAATGAGGCAGTGTTATTATAGACAGCTGAAGGAGGAGGGAAGTTTAGCCAATTGTATTAGGACACTCTCTGTAGGGGAGCAGTTTCCAGGCACTGAAGGTTCAGAGGGAGGAAGCTATGGTGGATATTTTCTGCACATACTGTCAATATTCACACACAGTGCCAAGGAACACTTTATCATCCCCTTGAGCCTCACTCAGGGAAGGTATTGCCACTCTCATGGGACTGGGCATTGGGATCCTTGACATGAAATATTAACAGCATACATTCACTCAGGACTTTGCTAGCTCCCGACAAGGGACACGCAGGGAATTTGGCTTGCACAGGAAAATGGGATGTAAAACAAAGACGAGAACCGTGGAGATGTAGGTGAACCACTGATTCCTTGCCAGTGTTCAAGACGGCAATCAAGAAGTTATATTTTGCACCAGTATCAAAGGCTTGAAGAACGAGAGTCGGCTGAAGAACCTGAGCACCCTGCCATTTGAGTTACAGACTTGGCAGGATTCTCATGACAATTAAAGTTAATGGATGTGAACCCCAGCACAAAGCAATCATTTGATAAATGGCAGCTATCATCATTCATCCTGTTGAGTCATGTATTATTCAAGAAATATTTATCTAGCCCAAGGAAGCTGGGAAAGGGCAGCTGGTCCACGTGGGGACAGTGGAGCATCCCACGGCCCAATCTGCCTCCTCACATCTCACCATAGGCCTATCTGTCCTTTATGCAAACATACAGAACCACACTCCTTACAGAAGAACAGTGTGGGCGTCTAGGAGTGCCTTCTCTGTATGTATTGGTAGGTGCATGTGAGAGTAAAGAGTTTTTCAGAATCATGTTCAGGCCCTGCAGACTTAAAATGTTGATTTATTCATCATATGGTAAGAGTGATAAGCAGGTGTTCTGAAAACAGTTACTTAACTAGCGAGCCGCGTTCCAGTAAGTGACCTACCAATATAGCCAGAGCACAAAATAGGTTATGGCTTTGTCTACCCAACAAGCAGTCATTGCGATTATTTTTAGACAAAAGATTTGGAGCCTGAAACACAACTCATAATTATGTTGCTATGAATCTTCAAGCAGTTGTTTTGTGGGATTAATTTAACTGTGGAAACCTTGAAGTCATCACAGTTTCTGAAAAACTCAGAGATTAAAAACTGAAAACAAGCCATTCCTTGTCACGGAGTATGCGCTCCTGAGCATGTCCAATGTCTTCCCACTGTGTAGTGCGCCTGCCTGCTTTCCCAGGCCCTGTTCTAGATCTAGCTCTTGCTGTGCCCTCTGCTCTCTGGACGAAGCCACTGATGGCTTCTATTCAGGAAGCATTCCTCATGACGCCGTCCTGATGGATGACCCTTTCCACTGGCCTCTACACTCTTTCTTAGAAGCCCCACCCTCCATGTCCCTGACATTCCTGTCTATTTTGAGCAGTGTCTTGCTATTTCTAACCTAGGAATATATTGTGCAATACATTTATATCATAAAAATAATATAACAGATCAATATGGCCAAAGGTCTGGGAGAAAGGAGGAAAATATTGATCTTATTGCTTTAGTATAAAGTGTGTACTTATCATTCTGCAGTGTTTTTTCCATAGCCTTTCTTACACTCAATTTTTTCATTGAGTTAATTGTAGCAGTCATTTGATTTCATATGCTGATCTTTCCAACTAATGCTATTTCATTATCTTTACTCAAATTGCTGTAAAACCTAAAGGCTGCAAAACATTGATGATTCATCTATAGCTAAACACGTTCTGTTGCTGCTTTAGTTTTCTGTGTGAATTCCTTGCCCCTTGTCCATGTTAGGAAGATGGAACCAACCATGGTAATATTTGGTCCTCCTGGTGGCTGTTAGCGTGAAGAAGAGCTGACCGCAATCTTCAGCCTTTGCTCTCATATGTTGAAGCTCAACCAACTGGGAGCTTTACCAGTCCTACCATGGCCCATCAAATGAGGCAGTTTTGTAATTTTCTTTAACAAAATTATTATAGACCCTAATATCGTCTCATCTGTAATTCCTTTTTTTTCTGAATAAAATTCTTTAAAAATTATGTATATATGTGTGTGTCTGTGTGGTATGAAAAGGCAGTTGCTTAAGGAAGCCAGAAGAGGGTGTTGGACACTCTGGAATTGGAGTTACAAGCACTTGTGAGCCACACAATGTGGTGCTGGGAACTGAAGTCAGGTCCTCTGCAAGAGCAGTAAGTGTTCTTAACTGCTTAGAAACCGCTTCTTTCCCTTACCTGGAATTCTTTTCCTTCTTTGTTTTATCCTGAATTTTCTATATTAAAAGATTTTATTTCCTGTATAACACTAATAGTCTTGCCATTAATAATGTATATTTCTATTGTCACATTTAGAATCTCATAGCGCTGGTATTACTTTTTTCCTGAATATTTTTAATAAAAACGTAAAGATCTTAAGCAATTTCTGTATCCTTGTTTCAGTTTGCTAAAGTATTTTATCTAAAACTATTTCATAATAATTCTTGATATTTATTAATAGTTTGTGTAGTAGGATTAAAATTTTGTGATTTAAAAAGGTTTAATTTTTAAAGAAAAGTTAAAATAGGCTTTGTCAGAATGTGTTTATAAAATATAGTCTAAGACATTTTTTAAATTGCTTTTCAAGCTATGAAAAAGTACTCTGGAAATAAAATAAAGATGAAGTTATATGTTAATTTTACTCAATTTATCAATATTCATTTTACTTGAATATTTTGTCACCTGTAACACTCAATGTCCTTTCCTTATTATTTTATAAAAGTCAGATATAAAGGAATAAGGTGTGAGGTAAGCGACGGTTGCAGCATGACCCAGGAAAAAGGGTCCTCTGACGTGACTGGACAAGTCAAGAGCGTCGCAGGAGTCAGGGAAAGGCTGAGCTAAAGATGCATGATTAGGTAAAGGCCATACTGAAATGAATAGAAAAGTGTTTTAAATGACTACTCACATTCACACGCTCATGTCCGCACAGAGACATGGGGAGAGAGAAAGAGAGAGAGAGAGAGAGAGAGAACTTGAGCTTGGTTAGGTATGGAGATCTTGGAGGAATTGGGGGGAAACCATAATCAAAATACATTTTACAAAAAAGATTAAATTAAAAAATTAAAATGACACTCAGTATAAATCCCACAAACTCCAAGTGTTAGTTTTCTGCAGCAAGAGAGTAATCTGACTTCCTGGAAACCCCACCCCTGGGGTTTCCCTATATGGCAGGCTTAGCTATGGGTGCTATGCAAACATTATAGATGATACCGCTGGCCCCTCACTTGGCAATCTGCCAGTTCACTCAGTCACTCCCTGGAGCTTTACTGCAGGCCTGGCCTTTTGCCAGCATCGGATCTGGAATCAAGGCATCTGAACTCCATGCCGTCTCCTCTAGCTGACACCTCTTATGGAGGGTGTGGTAGCAGTTGCCCCAGCCAAGCCACTGATAACTTTACCTCCTGACAGTGAGTGCACTTGCAGACGAATGTCCATACGCTCTGCAACCACTGTAAGAAGGCCTAGAAGCCCTGGATAAAAAGGTGCCAGTCGGGCACAGTGCTTGCTGCCGGTGTCCCATTAGCAGGTAGAAACTTAGTGGGAAGCACAGCCTCTGTCAGACACCTATGATTATAAACCGCTCATCTGCTGAATACAGCTCATTTCCTAGGAGACATTTTAAGCCATCTGCTCTAAGAGTTGGTATGTGGGAAGACGAAAAGTCTTTAAAAAAAAAAAATTAATGTGATAAAGCCCCAAATCAAAACTGAGGCAAATGGAGCATTGCTCTTCTATGCTTTAATTTTCTGGAAAACAGCCTTAGGGAGTGAGGATTGCAGCAGACTTGTGAGCCAAGCAAATTCAGGGCCTTTTTAGGGCAGGCCAGGGTGGGATTAGATGTTCCAGGCTACACTGTCCTCATAAGCCTGCCATGATCTGAAACTTAGATCTCGGTTCTGGGCCAGATCAGGCTGACCTTTAGAGGTCGGCAGAGAAAGCAGTAACATCTAGACAACTGTTAGACAAATCCCCGTCTGCCTTTCCAGCCCCTCCTCCTCCTTGCCGATCAAACACGCCAGCTTCTGTCGCCTCTATAACCTGACCCTCAGTGAGTCTATAGCTGCTTCCTGACGGGATTTTAGGAGATTGTCTACCTTTGTAACATTAGGGAATTAAATGTTAAGCACCATGGCTTTGGTGCTCAGTTAAAGACAGTATCGTTCAGGTATCATTACAGCAAAAATCACCTGTCCAACTTTCTTAAGGTGCATGTGTGCTATTTATTATTTGAAAACCTTTCCTAATTATCCATACAGGATAGACCAATGCAAAGATTTTAAGAATGTCCAAATTAGGGAACTATTTGATAAATTAATATATACCTTATATACAGATTTGTAATTTTTGTGTTATCATCCACAGTGTAAGCGTGAATTAGTTTTTCATGCTTTGTTCTTTGTTAATTTACTTCAGCTGATTTCTGTGAACATTATGATGAGGATTATGTTTGATATCCAGGGGTTATTCTCATTTCCGTGATGCAGTTTTATATGATGAGTCAAGCCTGCTCTTGGTTTGTGACAGTCATCTATAGATCAGTTCTACTAGGTTAAAAGATACACCCTGCTAAACTGGGTAACATGGCACCTTTAATCCTAACACTCTAGAAGGTGAGATAAAAGGATTTGAATTTAAAACAAGTCCGTGCTATGTAGTAGAACTTTGTCTCAATAATCTGAAAGCCCAACTGTACATTTACGATCATCATTATTATGTGATAATTATTTTGGAGAAAATATTTATGTGTATTTGTATATATGTGGGTGTATGCATGCCAGAGGAAAATTGTTGGGAGTCAGTTCTCTCCACCACGTGGGTTCCAGGGATGAAATCAGGCCATCAGGCCTGGTGGCAAATGCCTTTACCACTAACTATCTTTTTGGTCACATAATTATTATGCTTTAAATTGTTTGTTTGGGATGTTTGAAATAAAATCCACTCCACAGTCCAGGCTAGTCTTGAATTTCCTGGATGAAGCAAAGGGCCTACCACAGCCTCCTAAGAGCTAGGGCTACAGGCATGTTCTGCCATGTTTGTCTTTAAAATGATCTTTAAAAGTTTGCTTATTTTTAAACCTAGACACTAGACTTCATGGATTGAGTTGATGTCAGGTTAAATGACTTCCCCAGCGAATACCTTGCTGATCGATAATAAGTAATTAAGACCATTACCCATAGTATAAGAGACCATAAGAACTGTAATACAAAGTGGACTGCCTTCTGGGGTATATCTTCAGTTAAACAAGTTACAGAGCTGAAAACAGTGATAGTAAGTAGCCATCTTTCATACTTGTTTCTAGTTTTAATTTTTTCTCCATTTATAGTCTCTTTAAGAATTGCCAGATGTCTTAGTTAGGTTTACTATTGCTGTGAAGGGACACCATGGCCATAGCAGCTCTTCTAAAGGGAACATTTAATTGTGGTGGCTTACAGTTTCAGAGGTCCATCATGGCAGGGAGTATGGTGGCATGCAGGCAGGCATGGTCCTGAAGAAACAGCAGGAAGTTGACTGACTGTCACACTGAGTGAAGCTTGAGAAAAAGACCTCAAAGCCCACCCCACAGTGATGCACTTCCAGCAGAAGGTGTGGCCCAGATTAAAGGTGTACCCTCCAGCCTCAAAGTCTGGATTAAAGACTTTTGTCAGCCAGCCTTCTCCAACAAGAGCACACTTCCTCCAAAAAGGCCACACCTCTTAATTGTGCCAGTCCCTATGAGTTTTGGGGCTCAAATACATTTTGAGGGTCAAAATTTTGGGGGTCAAATACATTCAAACTACCACACCAGATGAATAATTATCAGTGTTTTCTTTATAATCATTATGCTTTTATCTATCTATCTATCTATCTATCTATCTACCTACCTACCTACCTACCTATCTACCTACCTACCTATCTAGGAAAATAGAATTTATTTTTCTCATAACCTGAACATTGTATCTGTACTTGCTTTTCTGAGTCTGTTATTATACTTGTAAAAATTCCAGATCCTCTAATAGCTCAGGATAAGGATTTAGTTTTTGAGTTACTCCATGCCCTCTAGGGTTTGTTCTAGTGATATCAGCTCTCTTTACAATTCCAGAGATTCCCACACTCTTGCATTGTACAGAAAATGATCTGAAAATTCTTTGAAAACTTGTTAAAGTTTGTGTGTGTGTGTGTGTGTGTGTGTGTGTGTGTGCATGTATGCAAGTGTATAATGTTGTTTTAAGAGAGGGTTTCATTCTGTAACTTATCCATGGCTGGAACTCACTATGAAGCCCAGGGTTGCCTCAAACTCGTGGAAATCCTCTGGTCTCAAGATCTGAAGTATAGGGATCTCTGGGGTGGGCCAACATGCCTGGCTTTCAAACTTAACAAAATATATTAAATTAAACCCTCTTGCTATCTGGAAGTAATTTTTCTTTTATCATGAAAGCTGTCTTAATGATTTTTCTATTTGCGTAATAACATCATAACCAATTAATTACTCTTAATTAACTGATTAAAATTTGCTGGCATCAATGAGCTCAATACATTTACAAGCCTATAATACACTCTTTGGATAGCAGTAACTTTTTAAAACTGGGTCAGTGTCTGCCAGGCCCCTCTCAGTCAGAAGCAGGGAGAACCTTCTTCCCAGGGATTCACCTACACCCAGGTGGAGTTTGGAAGTCTCTTAATCTTGCTTTTCCCCTAATCCTGTTGGAAATTCCAGGAACTCTTTTTGCTTCCACTGTCTCCACCTGTGTTTCACTTGCTGCCTGCTGTATCTCTTGTAGCCCTTCTTGGTGTATCAGGCTATGACCAAATACCCCCAAAAGAAGCCACCTAAGCGGGCATCTTAGTATATATTTCTGTTGGCGTGATAAAACATAACAGGAACAATGTATGGAGTAAGGGATTTCTTCCGGCTCATAGTTCCGGGTTCCAAAGCCCTCATGGTGAGGAACTGAGGGCTTCAGGAGCTTGGAGCAGA